GAGTTGGGATAAGATCCCATGCTCTTTCAGATAGTCATCGAACTCCAGGCTTAAGTATTCACCTCCTCGATCCGAGCGGAGGGTCTTAATACTTTTGCCTAATTGTTTTTCTACTTCGTTCTTGAATTCTTTGAATTTGTCAAAGCATTCCGATTTGTGTTTCATGAGATACACATATCCATATCTACTAAGGTCGTCAATAAATGTAACGAAGTAAGAATAACCACCTCTAGCTACAGTGTTAATTGGACCACAGACATCAGAGTGTATGAGGCCCAATAAGTCACTCGCCCTTTCACCGTGACCAGTGAATGGAGCCTTTGTCATTTTACCAAGTAAACAAGATTGACATACATCATATGACTGGAAGTCAAATGAATCAAGTACACCGGAACGATGTAACTTAGATATGCGTTTCTCGTTAATGTGGCCCAAACGACAATGCCAAAGGTACGCGAGATTCAAACTGTTAGGTTTGTTTCTCTTAACATCTACGTTATATATTGCGGTATCCATGTCAAGGACATAGAGACCATTGGTAATTTTTGCACTTGCATAAAATATATCATTTCTAAAGACAGAAAGAGTTTTGTCTTTTACAACGAACGAAAATCCTGCTTTGTCAAGGCAGGATACAGAAATGATGTTTCTGCTCATACTAGGTACAAACAGACAATTATTTAACTGCAATACAAGACCACAAGGTAGAGATAAACTATAGGTTCCGACGGCTAATGCATTTACGAGTGCGCCATTGCCGACTTTTAGTTGTATCTCTCCCTCCGTCAATTGTCTACGTTCATGCAGATCCTGCATAGAAGTACAGATGTGAGAACCACATCCAGTATCCATCACCCAAGAGGTGATATCAGACATATTGACTTCGATAACGAAGATACCTGAGGTTTGAGGTTTCTTTCCCTCTTTCCTCTCTGCCAGTAATTTTGCGCAGTTGCGCCTCCAGTGGCCCTTTTTGCCACAATAATAGCATACAGCAGACTTCTTCTTAGCTCCTTCTTTGGGTTTCAACGAAGAGGAGTTGGACGCTGGCTTGGGTTTCTTAGAACCCTTGCGCTTGGTCCCGACCGGCGAACGTGGCCCACTCTTCTTCGCAACAGTACTGCCCTCTACCATCACGACAGACTTACCCTTGCCCTTCCCTAGACTCTCCTCAGCAGTTGTGAGGAATTTCAGTAGCTCAGGCATAGTCATCTCTAGTTTGTTCATGTAGAAGTTCACTACAGTTTGACTATACTCAGCTGGTAATGATCCCAAGATGAGATCAGTTGCCAGCATAGGGTGCAACGGGGCGTCCAGTTTTTCAAGAGTTTCGATCTGACCGATCATCTTGAGAACGTGGGGACCAACTGGGTTACCCGTTGCCAGCTTACTGGAAAACAGAGTCGTAGAGATTTTGAAACGCTCATGTCTAGCCTGGCCTTGGTATAGACCTTTCAAGCGAGTCATCATAGGATGAGCTTCCATGTCCTTGTGGAGCCTTTGGAGCTCCGGGGTCATGGTGGCTAGCATGAGACATCTCACATCACGTGCGTCATCTTCATACTTC